TCGCTCATTGCGCGAGGTTCGTTGTCGGTTTGTTGTCTTTTTCAAGTCCAGTTGGTCCACTATGGTACGTGCAGTATTCTGAGCCTTCTGTTGGTGTTTGGGAGCATTCGCGAACGGCTTAGTTTGGTGTTCAGTTGTTCGCTGGACCGTACTACACTGTGCCATGCAATTCGGAGGTCCAGTTTCCTCAACGTTCGGTGCGCGATGCGAAGTCCAATGCGATAGAGTAGGAAATGCATCGCTATGCATCCATCCACCGGACTGGTTTCTACCGACTATCAACCGTCAGGTATCTTTCTACTCCTTCCGTGGCGCTAGTGTAAGCAAGGCGCTTGCGCGCTGCAAATGCTAAACCGGTAAGACGAAGAAGCCTAGAAGCTCGTATTTTATTAGGCCTAGTATGTATGCATGCGTGCGTGCGTCTATGTTCAACACGTAACTGTGTGTATGTGTGTATATGTGTGTATGTATGTGTGTGCGTGCGTATGTGTGTGTGTGTGTGTGTGTGTGTGTGTGTGTGTGTGTGTGTGGCCGAGCCATCGCAAATGATGCATACGGAGCATATCGCTGATTACTGCCTCTAATAATACGCCTTTGGAAAACTTATAAAACTTATAATCCGAAGCGACGAGCCAGCTCCGCACTCGCCAGTCGCCGAGTCCACTGCTCAGTACGGGACACGCCAAGGTTGGTGCGGATACCGGCTCAACGCAAACTGTTCATCCCGCGAAGTTCCGTTTCTTTCCTACTGATGATTGGAACGGGAAAATCACTCCTGGATTATACAAGTAATATTATTGTTATAAAATACACATGCATGTCGAACAAGTAACTTAGTTGCGTGATGTCTGCGGCCTTTATTTTATTCTTAGGCAAAATACACATGCATGTCGAACAAGTAACTTAGTTGCGTGATGTCTGCGGCCTTTATTTTATTCTTAGGCCTTCATTTTATTCTTAGCTCTATTAACTTCATCGATTCTTGCCAATCTGATTGACTTATTGAACAAGCAAGCTAAGAGGGAAATATGGAAAGTTCAAGTGATGACCTAGTAGCGACCGTGTCTACATCTTCTCAAGTCAAATGAGAAAGAGAAAAAGGGGCCAGTTGAGATTCGTTGTAACTCTGAGTTTCATGCTAATGCAATCACCAGACGACTGATACTAAAACCCGAGACTAATCATTATGTACTTGATCATGAATGAGACTTGGCTCTGAATTGAGTAGAAACAATACACCTACACGGCTCAAGGTTAATATCACGCAGGCTTCATGGATGATTTTATAGGGATATGCTTTGCACTGATGTATGCAAAACCAGTCATCTTGATTGTGCTGGACACCTTGCGCTGTAGCTGCGACTGGCTACTAACTTGTTGCTCTAGGTCATGCCAGGCTTGAAATTCCGTATGTACTACGCTAAGTCAACAAATATGCAGCGCATATTTATTTTCGGGTATTTTCGGCTTCATCATATTTGGCCAAAAATTTGTTTCAGCCGAAATTTAGTTTCGCAAGGTTCAGTGTGACAGTGTATACAGGCAGCAGCAGTACGGGCCGAAAATTTGTTGCACCCGAAATTTTGTTTTAGCCCTGAGAGGCCGAAATTTGAATGGACCGAAATTTTGTCGACTTACAGTAGTACAGTGGTCCCTTTATAACCCGGCACCATTTGTTTTAAAGAAATTCTGTTGGATTAGGGAGGGCGCTGGATTAACAAATCTGATCTACTATTGTAATGTGCATGAAGAGGACATTTTGGCTAATGAATATTGTGCTGGTTTATACATGTAGAGGGTGCTGGTTTATAAAGTGCCGGATTAAAGAGGGACGGCTGTAGTCTGTTTTCTCGTCAGCATTTTGATACTAGTTCACTTCTTTTGTTCAGGCTCTTCGGGCTTGGCATTGTTGAGTATGGTGAGCTCCTCGATTCTGCATAGGCTGCACATTTTATACTTATTTGAGTGTGCCTGTGATCTTCTGTGAACACTCCGTCAAACAGAGTATGAATTTCTGCTCGCTTCGGATTCCATACTATTGTTTTTGACAATCCATTGCTGTTCTCGCACCGTTCATGGTGGACATCAGAGGTGGCAACAACCACTGGAGCCAAGACCCGTACCCCGTCCATCAAGCAACATCTGTCCATTGCGCGAAATCACACGACACCTGTACATTTTCGATCTGCGGGATGAAGATGACGACGCCCATGCATCAGGTATCAGGGGGTAGTAAGATACTGGTATATTACTACTCCACGCCTCAAATCGTGCTGTCAAGCGTATGCGGGGGAGTGTAGCATGCCATCCCTTACACTTTCCAGCTCAGGGTTACCCTCGCTACCAATGGACGAAATTTCAGCGTCACAGCTTGCGCAACGGCTTTGTCCTGTGCGAATGTGCACTCGACATACTCAGACCAAATTTTCTATTGCATACATGCACAAAATGTTCAACTTTCGTTTTTTTGGCGACTTTACCACCGTCGTGGAGGCTGGTTGGTGAGGAGCAGGTAGCCATCCCTTGTGGAATCAAACACATGGTTCCACAGTGTGGCTGATTCCGCAAGAGCCAGGTCCATACGAGGAACATTCGCTTTGTCTTTTGCCATCGAAGTAAGTCACTTTTCTTGTTCTCAGTGTTTTTTACGTTCAACGTTTCTGAGATTTTTGAATTATTCACTTTTCATTCTTTCATACTTTATTTCTTCATGTTCACTGCCTCACTTGCCTTCTGATCTGGAGAATGTGACGGAGGTGACTGTTGGTTACTGCCTGGTATAACGGGTGTCGTGCTGTTGCTGTATTTCCGTCCTGCTAGCGACGTTGTAGATCACAAACAATTTGAAATCACATGAATTGTACTTACCGTCGTGCGTGCGGTATTAGGAAACACTGTGCAGATTAGATCGTCGCAATGTATCTATATGTGTGTCTGGTCATCCTGTGCCACGCAAGAACTCCAACCAGACGCATTCGTCCTCGGCCCTGTTGATCGATTGTCCACTCGTCTTTCCTTGAAGAACGATCGATCAAAAAAATCGAGCTCGAGGACTTTTTGCAAAAAAACGGCTGAAAAAAGGAAGAAAAAAGGGTGCTCAGAATGAGATTCGAGTACACAACCATGGTCCCAGCAGTTTATGTGGATGTCGCTCATAGATGCGCGATTTCGCGCAATGGCAACACGCACTTAGGGCCCGGTCACACATGCACTCGAAAGTAGCGTATACGCTGAAGCGAGGTCGCAGGAGCGAAAAATGGCATGGCAACGGCGAAAAGCGGAACTTCCGCTTCAGCGGAAACTCCAATCCGCTTCCTCCAAAATTTTCGAAGCGAGACTGTCGCTTCTGCGGATTCGCTTCAGCGGAAAACACCACGGTCTGCTGTATATGGACTTGCTACGAGAAATTTGTATGCGTATGATGTCCATGCAACAAAAATGCGTGCAAGATAGTCATTGACCTCGTCTATTCTCCGTACCGTATGCACCACAGTCTCATTTTCCGCCAAAGTAGGAGTTGTGCCCTGTTTGTATGTGTGACCACACACACGTGGTTTCGCTGGAGCGACACCAGGCTCGCTGCCGCCGAACCTCGTCGCCGAAGCGAATCCCAGTGCATGTGTGACCGGGCCCTAATTGTCGTGAGTTGTGCCGTGATGATGTTCTCTCAGGATTGCCACCTTGTAGAGGTAACGTTACGTTGCATTTGGCTGCCTTATATGCTGTGTATGTACACAAGTAGGATCCTAACCTGTATGTGTTTCCTTGAGCTCTTTGTACAAAAAGAAAAACTAATGTTATGGTGAAAGGAAAAGGACAACATGTTACGAGTTATGACAAACTGTCCACCAACGTAATCAGATCTTATACAGTCAGCGAGTGCGACAAAATGGCACAAAACTCACGAGGAGTACTGAGACATTCGGCGACCTGACACCTAGCTCCAACACTTCTCCAAGGCGCAAACCAACAAAAATTAATGTATTGTCTATGCTATTGTTTGGTGTTACCAAGATTACATAACCCCCAGAGTGTGCAATGTCTGATTCAGCTCTGCATAGGGTCTTGGTCGAGCATAATCGGATCTTCTGATGTCATGCGTACACTCCACACCAGCACAACGCAGTACTCGAGACAGGGCATCGTTGTTTTTGATCCGAGAGTCACCGTGACTCCCCGGGTTACCCTCAGATGTCTGTCCCTCCAGGAACTTGCGATTCCATGGCTGCGTTGTTTTCCGTAATTTGAACAAAAGTCCGCGATATCCACGATATTTCGAAAAGCAACTGCGGTATTCGAGTCATTCTTCGATGTTGTTTACTTCTTCAAGCTCGCAAGTAGTTTACTTGTGAGATCGACACCAGAATGGAGAAGTTTCTGGGCTAATCAGCGGCTGACAAGTCACAAAATAAGGCTCGCGTCGAGTGTTGTCCGAGGATGGAGGAAAGCTGTGTTGCAAACTCCTATCAGGCAGTTGAACACAGTCGCAATCGAGTACAGCACACTGGGCGGAGCACACGCTCTGTTTTGTCATGCATGATTTATGCTGTACGACTCGTGCATGATTTACGCTGTACGACTCGTGCATCGTACCGCACTACAGTAAAAGTACCAATATCGACCTTTCCGCAATTTCCGCATTTTTACCACAATAATCCCGAAAATTGTGGCATTTTACCTAGCAACGTTTTCCGCGATATTTCCGAAATGTCTCTGCAAGTTTCTGGAGGGACAGAGATGTGTACGGTAATATGATGCAAAGATCCAATTACGCTCGACAAAGACCTATGCAGAGCTGGATAAAGCATACCCTCCACCTGGTAACATGCGGAAAACTCGGCCTGCAGCCGAGAGGATAGCCGTGAATTGTGACACCTTGCCCTTCGTACGAATGAAAGGTTCCTTCCCCGATTATAAGCCGCATTTAAATATTTGTAGCACCCAGCTTTCAGGTTTGAACCACAAATTCAATACACCACACCTTCAGGTTAAAGCGATAATGTTTCAATTTATTCGCATAAGCAGAAATTCACACTCGATTGTAAGTCACATCCCCTTCTTTCCAGGGTTTTAGAAAGTACGTCATGGTTGTTGAATGGGAAATTATATCCTAGGTTTTAAAACATGTCTTCAAGGTAAAAACGGCAAGAAGATATTCGTAATTGGATCAAGGCATCAATCAAGATCTTGCACAAATGAAATGCACCAATAGCGGTAGAACGGAATATATTCGTAAAGAAATCGGTACATAAAGCACTTTTTGCCTTCATAAGCATTTGTAGAGAAAATCAAAATCAAATTTCATCGAAATTTCACATAGCATTCTGTTACATCATATAATTATATCGGCCACACCACTGACAAGAAAACTGGTATAAGGTATAACACTCCTAGATAGGAACTAATACTAGTTCTCCCGACACGCACACGTCTGTATTGACATGACCCGTATGGAGTGGTCACGTGACGTGCGGATGATGACGGGTCGCACGGAGGACGGCGCGCAACGCAGCTGCACTGGCGATGTACTCAGCTTGCAGAGGAAATGAAATTGCCTGTGCACAGTGTGAAAGACAGGGATGAAAACAAGTGCAACTCAATGACAGTGAAATTTGTGTTTATCGGACCCTGAATACTTTCGTACCAAGACAGCTTCACTGCATCAAACAAGGGCATGCAGGTGTCACTGTAATTTGCAGACGTACACCTTCATTCAGGCTTGGCCTCTAGGGCCTTCTCATAGGATCTACGGTGGGTCCTACCCCTCTTCCCAACTCTAGGGTGTGTCCTGCCCTAGTGACAATCAGTGACAAATTCGCTAATATCCCAACCGCCACATATGCAAGATCATTCGAATCTTACTACAGTACGTACTTCAAAGTGCGCGAATACACACGCACAAGCACACGTGCATGCATGCAACAAGCACACAGGTATGCACAAACAAACAAACGCCTCACCTTCTGATCTTCTCACAATATTCCTGTCTTGAGAGTCGAGGGCAGGGACCATCACAGCGGCCAACATCAACAATCTTGGTCTGATAGCGACCGCCGTCCACATCATTGTCATGGATATACTCTCGATAGGCTTTCTTGTAGGGCCTGCGGCGACAAGACTTGCCGCACGCACAACTCTTGATGACCTTTACACACTCCTTGCCATTGGGTCCTTTGACCACATGGCATTTCTCCTCGGCAACTTGACATGTCTGATTTCGGCATGACCCGGCACAGTTTCCGACGTCGACCTCCGTTTCGAAACGCGTTCCCTTGTACATTATCTGCGCAGGACCAAGATAGGAATGCAAATTAGAGTGAGATGGGAATGTAATCACTAAAGGAACCACCGACATTTTTGACAATGGGATATCCTAGGCAGTGTGAATTGAAGAGGCAGATTGTGAAAATTTTGAGAGCTAGCGAAGGATATACAGGAGCATGGTAATGGGAATGGGAATGGGCTACGGACAGTGGTAATTGTAATGGTATTCATCTGGACGTCAAAGATTCAAAAAACCTCTAAATTCACACGTCAGACTGCCAGATATAGGAGACTTCTCATTTCCATAACAATCCATTGGACGCTTGTTGAAAGGGGTCGGTCCGCTCACAAATTTCGAATATTTTTGCACAACCTGCTAAAAGCCGTCCTTCCACCATTGTCTCAACGGCATACTGCTGACAGGCAGAAATTTGTGATGAATATAGTTCGCTTGCATGGTATTTTAGCAATGGAACGATTACGTGTTTGACAACTTCTATCTAACGTAGAAATCTAGGAAATTGTGATGTCAGATCTTAGCGGAATCTATCCATGTCGCTAAAATTGCCAATGTTCTCGCTAATTTTCGCAAACTTGGTTGAGCTTGACAGAGTCGATCGTCGACAACATACAAATTTGCAACACTATGTTCCTCCTTGCTGAAAAAGTCTTCTAAATATAATGCGTTCACCCAGCTCTCCTTACCTTGAATGCAGTGTTTCTTTGGCACTTCTTCCAAACCGATTTCGGCTTGTTTTGGATTTCCTCCGGTAGACAGCCACAGCGATTGACAACGTCCACCGTCTTCGGGCCTTCGCGAGTCAGAAACGTCTTCTGCTCCGTCTCCACGGGAACACAACTCTGGCATCGCCGGCATTTCTGCACCGCGGAGGAGCCAACACGAACACAACACGATTGGCATTCGTAAGTTTCAAGGAGTTCTTGCAATCACGATTGGCATACTACTGGATGAAACTGACACCATATACACACCACCCCTTCATTTGATAGGTGGATAATTTGCAGTGAATGTATGCACATCCTCACGTTTCGTAAGAATGGAGGCTATAATTTTCAGACCTCCACTCATTCACCTCCACACGTCTCGCACACATTTACAAATTTTAGATTTTCTTCTCCAGGCTTGTTTCTCCTCCCTCATGCAGAAAGAACAAGAGTTCAGCCATCAGCAGGCCACGAAGAAAACACTTGATGAACTCTGATTGGCACTTCAGGTGTGAATTCAGAGCCAGGATAGGCTATAAAAGTAATCATTCCAGGAGGGGATGGGGTTTGGGATGACCAGAATTTTAGATTTTCAGCTCCAGGCTTGTTTCTCCTCCCACATGCAGAAACAGCGAGAGTAAAATGTGTGCGGGAGTTTAAAACCTGAACCAAGTGCATAGCCTATTACCGGCATGACTGAAGCTGCCCAGTGCCTGGCACCACACTAAGTCACATTCTGATCCAATTTCTTCAGCACGCTTATACGAGATATTTTCTACCTAATTCCCATCTCTTTTCGGCCAACTTCATCACTAATTGCACTCAAACAATATTTGCAGCCCCAAATCAAAAAGATCTCTCACCTTTAGGTGGACTGAGGAACTGTTCTGAGTATCAGCTGACGGTCTTTCTCTCAGTCGCACACATTTGCCAACATCAACCATTAGAAATCGGCGATGTGCATCTGTATTAAGGCCTGCAGAAAGTACAAAGCGTATAGAGACACACACAATCAACATTGGGAATTAACTAGTACTGGGCTCCGGTTATTTCTCCACGGGGTGGTATCGACTTTCCCCCGTGTGACAAACCGGTATTGTACTGAAATGCAACCTGAACATGCAATGCACTCCACTCCTTGAGAATAAGCCCAATGGGCGATGTTCCCTTGAGCAATCGACAGGTAGTGAGTGTGGAAATTGAAACAATGTGCGATTGCATCTTTCCCCCCGCTTTTCCTTGTTTTTCCAAAGTGCGATCCACTTTGGAAAAACAAGGAAAAGCGGGGGGAAAGAACTGAAAAAGGTGGCTACTCAAAACATTGGAGCTTGCACTTCCTACTGAATGGCTGACCCTTGAGTGCCTTGCAAAAAAAAACTGATGCATTCTTACCAAAGCCTAGCTCTGCTTCTTCGGTCTGGCGCACGCAGAACCCAGCCGTATGGCCCACCGCTGTACGGTCATCATCAATGGGACTTTCATTGTTCACGCCGTCCCCAGCATCGTTGTTATTGGTATTCTCGGTATTGCCCTGGCCATTGCTGTTTGTAGGAGTGCGGCCACCACGGACAGTGGTCGTCGGAGGTGCTGTGGTCATCGACGCTCGGATCATCTCTTGCTCGATCTGCTGCTCGCGGATGCGATTGAGCAGTGCCTCTAAGATTGCCACCGAGTTCTCACCCTCCGTGTCCACTGTACGCGGTACTTGTTTGGCTGAATTTGAAAAGCAAACACATGGAAAAGGACATTGACGGTCAGCCACAACTGGTGCAATCTTCCTGCCTTCGTGATGATAAGGCTATATGAACAATTAGTATCGGAACTCAGAGTTGAAACAAAGCTTCCCCTCTCGCTCTCTCTTGTATATGAACAATTCTTAATTTTTAGGAGAATGAGACTCTCTTCAGTCTAGCCTCTCTTCGGATCAGTTTTCCCAATATATTCACCTTTCCAAATGTGCATTTGCTGGCACCATCATAATGAAAATGAGCCAGATAGTACTAACTGCCTTTGCAATATAACAGTGCATCTTCACATTGTACTTGTGATTATGTGCAAGCAGGCATTAGCTTGACAGGCCAGCTCAACAGTTGCCACACAGAGTCAGGCTCCGCTCATACCCCGCTGCGCTACACAATACGTACCCAGGTGAAAAACATGTTCCTGAACACGGAGCCATTGTTCGGTACGTTGTTTTGACAAAGTGCTTTCATCGAAACTACACGATTGTTTGTCCAATCTGACATTCAACGTGTGTCATGTGAAGGCAATTGCCAATTGGACACATGTTGATATGTGCCTCTGTCACGGTCATATCGTGTAATGTTGCTTCGGTGAGCATACCGCCAACTACTCCCGCCTAGCTAGCTTGTCCATATAACATGATTGAATACATACTCAAACAGTGGCCTGGGAGCATCTTCCTTCAGTAGTCTACAATAGTATACATGGAGTGTGAACAACCACACATTGCACTCTTCGCAAAACCTAGAGGTATTTTTTTATTCATCTGGCATTCTACTATCCCTAATATGGATGGTGGACACCATCCATATGCCCAGATGCATACCATGGCACGGTACATACACGCTCTTTGGACACCCGGCTGCCTACTTGGCTATTGCAGTATTGGATCACTCGCACACATTCATGTATGGTTGACTGCAGTTCCTGAACCTGATCAACTTCAGGAAGCCTACATTACTGGAGCAGTTGTCATTAGTTGTCCTGTGAATGGCTATCGACAACTGGCCTTGTTCAGGAGCTGGTGGAGTCCCTCTCTCTCTCAGTAGCTGGCAGGCATTGGATCTCACACTTTAATTTCCATAAATTGACTGCAATATGAATCCCATCAAACTACCCCATTACAAGTATCGACTTTTCATTTCAAATCTACAAGTGGAGAATGGGAATTACCCGTGTCAATTTCCTTTGCCATGGCTTTTGCCGCATTAATTGCATTACGAAAATGCATTTTGTCCGGGCACAATCGGCATGAAACGTGGACCTGGGGTCATCCATCAGATGCTAGCCGGCCACGTAATTGCACGTAATTACATCTCATGCTGTGATGAGAATAATTTAAATTGTGGAAACTTAGTTGTTGAACTTGAACTAGCACCTTTGCCCTCTCATCAGTAGTGAGTATGGAGGCTGCACCCACTGTGGGCCCTTCACTGGTCAGAATTTGATCCCGAACTGAAAGGCAGTATACAGGAAGATTTGACCATGGGAAGGAGAGGGGGGGGTTATAATATTATGTAAATTAAGAACTCCAGCAAGTGTCAATATAATTATAGGTGTGGAAGAACATGCAGCACCCCAAGCCTACAACTTGGCATCGTGCAGTGCAAACCACACAGGCAGCCGAGCTCAAACGTATTTCAGCTCACGCATTAGCCTTACCACCGGCTACGCAATTGTGTTGAGAAACAGAACCAGCTTATGAACGTTGGCTTTTGTGGGCTTTTGTCAGGCGCCATAACGTATTAGCGACTCAACGAAACACCACTGTGCACAGTTTTAAGACAACTCCACTCCGACCACACATGGTGGAATGTAAGCCTATGGGGAAATAGGGAGTTTATGGCGCTGGACAAGACCAGCTACAGGCTGTCTGAGCAGATGTGCCTTTCCTCAGCCCTACGCAAACACAGGCTATCTATAGTTCCTGCACACTTAACATGGCTCCCCGGGGCATTACAGCACGTGCAATTCACTGCAAATTAGAACTAGAAACTGAATAACTACTCTGCTCGGTTCACCCTCAATCCAATATAGCATAGGTAATTAGTTAGTAGATCTGGCAACTGCTCCACGCTAAACGACTGGAATCCGCCTATTGAGTGTTGTATTGAATGCAGTGGAGCAGTGGTGCCTCCCCCCCCCCCCCCCTCCCTCGGCCTCAAGTGTGCATGTGTGAAGGCCCGTACCAGGTACAGCCTGTCAGATATTACTAATACTACATGCCACACTGCTAGCCACACTGCTAGCCACACTGCTAGCCACACTGCTAGCCACACTGCTAGCCACACTGCTATACTACTAGCACATTGTAAAACAGCACCAGTATCATGTCCCAGCCTGGTGGAGGCTGCTGCTGGCCCAGGTATGGGAGGACAGGCCCCTCTTGACCCCCTGCCGGGTGAGGCAGGCTCTGCTTCATGTCATTCTGAAACGACAAGCCATCCACCCATGGTCTGCTGGGCCATCCCATCAAGAGGCCTACTTGCCTGCCTGCCTACCCGCCTGCCTGCGATGCCTTGCTCAGTGCACAGTGCACAGTGCACAGTGTACGTGCAGTGCTGTGCTGAGCTCACTGCACTGTCGCTAATGCAATAATACCAATACCATGCAATGCACTCTACTCCCTACCACCCTCCACTACTCTCCTGTCATCCCACCACACACATCCTCTACACCTTTCCCTCCACTACCCTCTTGTAATCCCATCACAATATCCATCACCCTAAACTCATTTCAGATAACTCCATTTGCCGCTGCAATATTATGCAATAATACACAAGTCCAAGTAGGTAGTGGTGGTGGTAGTTATCGGGTTGAATGTAAAGCCCTCATGAATAGAGCAGCTAGATTGCCATGCATGTGTATGAGGTGTGTGTGGGGGGAGGGGTACCATGGTATAGGTTCTACCATGTCCAGTGTCCTCATTCAGTGGTTTGCCTCCAATGAGCCTGGGCCCACCACGGGCCACCTGTGCTCCATATAAGGAAACATTCCGAGCATGCTAGCTCTGTGTATTTTAGCACGTTGTGGGCAAGCAAGAGAAAGACCTTGTCTCACCATGCACTCGGCCTGGAAGCTGAAAGCATCAAGTGCAATGCTGAACTTTCCTTGGCGTTGGGAGAAGCTTATCTAATGTGTTTGCATGCTCCATAGGACATCTGTTGGCCTTGGACCAAATCAGAGCACACTGCAGGGCGTATTGAAATGTAGTTACAAAGTTTACTGCAAGGAGGGGGACCTCCTAAGCCGAAGCATGATTTAATTATCAAGGAACACCCAGGGAGGCATTGTGGAGCCTGCTAGCTATCATTATCCAGATTTAACCAGTAAAAAGTGACCACTGGTATCGCCGGTCAAATTAGCATGCATTCAAGTAGCAAGTTCTCTTGCTGCCAAAAGACAAACAGTGCATAACGACAGATTTTAACTGTGGAACTCATTGTGCACGTTCATAAACCTCCCATTGTGCGTGCCAATTACGGCGGCATAATGGCGGCGTAATCCTATCTCCACCGCATGCCAAGTCCCATCGGCCTAGCACACACACACACGCACACCCCTGTGCATAACTGCGCCGCATACTCCCCACTGCTCTGTATCACTTGCAATACACACGCCATGAAATAGTGGGAATCGGAACTCCTATCACCCCCATCTGGTGCTCATGTGGGCAATCACATGGTCGCATGCCCACCATCACTCTTCAGAATACACATCGCACCAAGAAGGCTGACCAATTCCAAGCACTGGGCATCCAAAGCATACGATGGAGCAAGACGATTATATTTCCAACTCCCAAGCAATTCTCAAAGTTAGCTTCTGTGTATCAGGAAATATCAGAAGGCCGGGTAGATGTGAAATGGAAGCCACAGGCTTTCCTTTCAATGGCTTAATCCACATAATGGTACTTGCTCAACCCCAAAAACAATCTTCACACACTAAATAGGCCACAGCAGTACTCCTTAGAGCAGCATTACATCTAGTTTGCCATGTATTACTATTTTTTAGAAGGTACAATGAATCCAAAGGTTTCATTCGACGTTAGAGGGGGGGGGGGTTAGACCTTTTTATCCAAAGAGACGGAGAAAACGAGGGTGGGGCTAGTCTACTCTCACTCATCACAGTTGCCTCTCCAAGGAAAGCCTTGAACTTAACCTTAAACCCGGGTGGGTATTCTGAAGTTTTAAACTTTCATCTTGCATCCGTTAGCATCAGTCACACATGCAGAGGGCAAGACTACCCCGTAAAGCCAGGTTTACCGTGTAAAGTGAAGTCATTAGACCCCCATAGTGGACTCACCTGGTCTTAGTACGAACTGCTCAAAGTCTGACTGAGTATTGCCGTCGCAGCACGCCACTGCCAGCGTGACAATGAGCAGGCAGACAATCATCAGTGATGGTCGCAGAGCCAGACCACCAGTAGGCTGTATGTGGAGTCGGTGACTGGATCTTGTGTTTGATGCCATCACGTTCCTAGGTGGTCGCAAAAATCAAAACACAACACAGATAATGTTAACTTGTCTCAGTGCAGAAAGAGCAGAAGTCAAGCACAGTGCAGATCTTATCAGACAAAGCAGAATGTCTTCACAGCCTTCTAGGCTCTGTGCTAACCCTCCTGCACATAAGGTGGAGACTCTACGCCCTCAATCATAGCTGATGTTGCCGGGCATGCGCCACGTTGGCTCAAATCGAAGAACGGAGCGTTAAAGAACCACCATGCGAGAATTTCATCAAGCACGGCAGACCAATGTATACACGGTGACTCAACTGCGCGTAGACTGTAAAACATGAAAATACGAACGGTCTGGGCTAGGAGGCTGACCCCCCAGTTCTTCGGCAACCGACAATACTGTCCTTGCTTAACCACACTACCCCCCCCCCCCACCACCACCACCACCACCACCACCACCACCGGCATTAACACCCTGAAGGTTTGTGTTTTCCTGGTCAAAATGTAACCAGTATGGGCATGAACAAGATGGCAGTCCCTGCTCAAGCCTATAGGCAGCAGCAAACAAGCTGGCACCATAATATTATTATCTATTCTTGCAGCACTCATCACCCAGCAACCTGATGATGCTGCCAAATGCAGGCCTCTCCATCTATTCTGAACGCAAACCCACAACCTCCTCTGCCAGCAGTCTGCACATCTACAAGCTCATCGCTAATCTTAGCATGCCCTGGTATCTGCCATCAGGTGGCAGAAAAGATGACTGCCATCCTGTCCCAGCTGTGAAGACCACACCGTTGTCCATCTCAACACAATAAACTGATGAACAACTATAATAGTACGAGCTAGAGGTTGCGACTTCGGTCAGTCAAGTATGAAGTCGTCGGCGGAATAGCATAAGCTCCAGTGTGGGAGCAAACCCATTCCTAAACAACTATAATAGTTCATCTAAATCACCCTTATGATGATCCAACTAACAGAAGATGTATACAATGAGATGTACTAAAGTCCTTCACCATGAAGACGCAGTCACCTTTCCCTCTCCTGCACCACCCATTTGTGGTACATCTAACTTGAGCATTTTATAAGCAAATGGCGCTCCCCCACATTATGGTCCTTGGCATGTAGAAAGTACTCCACTATCAGATCAAACCATAGGAGATTGTCCCACTGGGACATTAGTCAGTTGAGCCACGGCAAGGCAATGTGAATGTTGCAACCATGCTGCGTGGACCCCTATTCAGAACAAGTGCATAGAGGTAGAGGAGAATCCTTTCCAGTTTGCATTGATCACGCAGATGGCTGTCAATGTGATCCACAGAGAACATGATATCATGTGTGTATCCTGAGCACCCAGTCAGCCAAACACTAGTCTCATGATACTGAATGATGTGAAGGATCCCATTCTTTCTAAATATCCACCCAGTTGAATCACCATGCTTACAACATACCGGTCATCAACCTAGTCTCCACTATGGGACGTCAGCATGCAGTTTCATCGGGCATTTACACAACATTATGCTCGGTAATGGTACTGTTGAATGTGCCCATTGAAAATCTCAGAACAAATGCCTATAGATGGTGTTATGAAAGTTGCCCATCCCTTACAGCCCACAAGACTTGACAAGATGTCAGGAAGGAAGCCAGTACAAGGACAGGTCACGCTTGCCAGTACCTTGTCAATATGTCGCCTGGGGCAGAACACTATCAGCTACTCCAGGTCTGAAGTACTTTTTCAAAAAGACAATTTCCGTTCCTGAACTGAACCGATTCGACAAATACGTGGCAAGAGGTTGTGCAAAAGACAGATCCTAACTTGCTGCAAATGATAGTTGCTGCCAACTGACCTCCGTGCTACAGCCACTGTGACTTTTGACCACAGCATTCAGCTTTCGACAAATTGCAGCGATTGGCCGCTTCTCTAGGAGTTCCTGAGATCGATCCTATAGCTATAACCAACCCTCCTCCTTGGTCGCTATGCCAGCCAGCGTCAGGTCTTCACCAGGCTGGGTGGGTCACGCGAGCTAAACGCCAACTCGGCAGGCGAGCACTTCTTTCGTCTTTGGGTTTGTTTGCACACCAGTTCCGAGTGCCAATAGTGGCAATACTCAACAGTAGTCAGACGGCTGCAAGATCTAGTCCCCATCAGTGAATGCCCCGACTCTACGACTCGAACCCACAACTATCGACATAGGCAGAACCACTCATCTCTACACGATAGTCCTGGCCACTTCATGAATTCACAACACTACTCGAAATCGCTGATTAAACTTACACGATTGTGATGAGAGTTCCGGACTGCTCGGGGCACTTCGAACGACGATTCGTAGGTGAGTCCTGGATTGCTGCAAAGTGGAGCCCCAGTAAACGGAGAACTTCCACCTCGATGTATCCGAACCCGGTGCAGAAAATTCGACAACTGCAGCGCTTGCTGAGGGGGGAGCAACTGTGTGCTGGCGAAGAGGCGACTCTATGTGCTTGCAAAGTGTTCCGTGATTGCTTTCGAGTCCTGTATACACGGATCGCTGCCACGATCTCACAGGCCGTATGTCGGTCGTCCACAACGACACTAGAGACACACGGATCAGACACGCCCGTGAAGTCGATGACGATGGTTGCAAGTTACAGCAGCGAGAATGGAATCCGAAACGAATAAGGCGAAACTTGGCGAGAAGCTGCATTCGTCTACTACTTAGCTCGAGTAATAGAAGCGGAAACTCAATTCTTCCTACTCACTAGCAGACCCAAGCTTGAGATCTGGTCCATTTGTACCGGTGACCCCACGCTATAAAGACGAAAGTCTGAAGTAGTCCTGTGTAGAGCTCACTAGGTGAACGGTGTAGGTGCTGGGGTTCCTGTGCGCGCGGTGAGCGCAGAGCGCAGAGCACATCCGAGTTCAGTTCGGAGCTGGGTCATTTGCACGGCGCTCAGCGAGCGCTGACGGTAATACGCCGGCGCATTGTGTCAGCTTTCCCGCAGTGCAGAAGAATTAAATCGGCACCGGCCTCTTGTAAGGAGGTATTTTCTTATTGACGGTAATATCGTGTGCTCTAGTATAGCTCTGCGCTAGCGAGAGGAAGACAGAGAATAGCACACCGAAAGCTGTGTTTGAGCTTGGCGGGTGAGTCGAACCTTTGCTTCAAAGTCACTAGCAGTCTTCCCTGTCCTCGCCTGGTACGTGGGCTGCACAAGTGCGTTCCCACCATTCGTAGCTTGAAGTTGAAGTCGGCTTTCCGTACGGTATCGCACATGCTTCCCACGCGTAGCCTGGGCTGAAGTATCGAGCTAGCAGTAGAGGCAAGAGAACTCTTGATAGAGGTAACAACGCGCTATTACCGAGTGTCATGGTTCGCATGTTCCGAAATGCCGCTCACCGCGTTGCGCCTGCAGCAGCCATGACAGGGCCGACTGCTTCTCTTCACGGGGGCTCCGTCGAGTGGAGCATAACCCGAGAAACATTATAAATTAACTGACTGTGCTCTGGGCAATGGCCTTCCACTGTCAATCAGAAACCATTGTCCTCCAGTTATTAGGTTCAGCCTGCGAAAAGTACTTTTGAAACTTATCGCTGCTGCATTGCTGTGCTGAGGGCTTCACTTGCGAGAACCGCGAGGCTGTATGGTGGAGTGCAAGAAGCCAGGGCCGCAGCTAGCCTCACTTGAACTATGTGGCAAAGAAGAAGTACTCGCACTTCACGACAAGATGGTGGAAAAGATGGCGCGTTTCACCTACAGACTGACGTAAAGACTCGCGCTCGCTCACTCACGCACAGCCAGCCATTCACCCGTTTCACGCGCACACCACGAAGCTGAGCTGGACACTGCGCTGTTGTGTGTGAACGATGCACAGGCGGTGCATGAACTATGAACTCAATCAAGGGCCTGGCCCTGGCAAAAGCCAGTCTGCAATGTTTTTGTGAGAGCTTGCTGCATGATTGTACATGACTGTTCACTCAGCAACAATTACTATGTTTTACTTGTCGAAGCATGTGAGCGCGCACCCGAAAACAGGGGTTCGCCTACCTTGCCAAAATGACGGCGATTAGTGCCAACACTAGAAGTAGTAGGTAGTTTGGTGGCTGGATCATTTCAATGTTGACTGACCGGATGGAACTACAAGTAAATTAGTTCATGGTGCTCACGCAATGATTCACGCGTTGGTGGTAGCACTTCCTCCGCCTGGCAGAAGGACAAACTTTGATCTAATCCCACCCTGGAAACACTGAACGAATGGCTTGAACAGCACGTGTATCCTAAGGGTTGGCTGAGGGAGTGGTGTGAAAAGTGAATTGTGGCAAAGGGGAGCACGACTGCAAGGCCATTCAACAGACACGAAATTCAGCCAATGAGGCGACACTACCTCCGACCAGCAATTATCTGATTTGCTCCACTCGAGAACGAACATGTTTTCAGACCGAGGAATGCACCAGCCAAACATGTACCCACACTAAAGGAAAGTAAAAGCTTCTCGTCAATGGTCACGTGACAAACGCCGTTCACGACAGAGAGCATCTGCTTGAAAAGTAACGAAGTCAAGTTGTTGAGAGAGCCCTATACTAGTATAGGCCCTATCAGCTCGCGTTCGGGTTGCCAATCTCAAGCGTGCGTGACGTCAGCCAAGTGTCCTTCACAAAACATAACGACGTCTTTCGTTGCTGCACAATTCCTTTTACAAAAGTAAAAGCCCTGCCGTTAACGTTCGGCTCAGCATGCAGCACCCTGCAAAAACTGTTTTTTTCTCCTCATGTGTGGCTTCCCTCGCTGAACGCCCTTGATATGGGCATCTGTAGCAGTATGGCGTTGCTCCTATTGACGTGTGCACTGCGGAGGGACCATTCACAATGGCTAAAAACAGTGCCAGTGGGGGGTAGTGAGGATGTGCTGGAAAATGCGCGGGCACCTTCACGGCCTAGCTACGTCCAAGTGTTATTTTCAGATTTCCGTGCACGGGATGCTGGCCGCCTCGTGATATCAGAGGAAGCCAGAAACTGTGTTTTTTTTCGGCAAAACACGTTACCTGCGTATGCCATCCTGAAAGTGCCAACCACACATGCACTGTACCTGCACGAAGGGGATACGCTTATCAGAATAGACGCGTGTACAGTGTAGCTGATAATAATCTATGTAGCAGAGGGCCACCCGTTCAGGATGGGTTTCAGCCCGGTCAAGTGTATTTCCGCCTCGTACAAAGGGAAAGTGAGAATCCTCATGATCTGCGTCACATAATGTTGTACATGAAAACATCCGTTGATCCCCGAGCTGCAGAGAGTGCTCAATGTCATAGACAGGACTTAGAGCATAGCAGATTCAGCGGAGGACGTTCAGGTTGGCTAAGTCTGCTATATAGCCTACAAGTGAATGTTCCACTCCAACACTTAGAAGAAAATGACTATTGGTGTGTGGGGGAGGGGGGGGGGGGGAGTTTAGAACGATCGACATTTGCTTAGATGTGATCACCTTCCGAGAAAGATCCGGCAGTTTGCAATGTGCATGAAAGCATCAGCCGGGAGAACATGGGACATGAGTGCGTGTGTGTGTATGTGTGTTGCGCTTGTGAATGACATTCGCAGAGCGACAAAAGCTTCACAGCGTGAGGTACGCGAGATGAATGTGGTGCGACTGCTTGCTGAAAGAGTGAAAACACTACTCATACAAATCCTAGGGCTTCATTGAACGTGAAGCCAAGTTGCGCGGTGTATTCAAACAGCGAGAGGAGCGAAGACTCCACAAGACTCTCAAGAGTATGTAGAGTAGGTGCTGGTGAATAGGGCCGGCTATGATCCAGGCCAGGGGTCAGGACTCATCAATCATTTCGTCACCGGCGCGGGTACAGGACACGACAGTCGAGCACCACCATGTCCAAGGTCGTGTCTCCCACATTCACCACACCGTGTCCCGTGTCTGATGATGTCTTCGCCAGGTCGTAGCGTAGAATATACATATACTAGATACTAACAGCCGCATTGTTTCCTCGGACGTGTTCCGTCGGCGTCGATGAGCTTTCTTATGTCTTCATCGATACCTTGTCGTCATACTGGCACTAATAAACTAAAAATAGCAACCGTCTCCAGCGCTATCTCCTTGCCGAATCCCCCGCAGTCATAATAAAGTCCATGTTCGGTGCGAAACAACAATAATAGTGTACTCCGTTGTCTCCGTGTAGACTTGTTTTGCAATGTTTGTGACCATGCGATCCCATAGCGATAAAGACAGCGTACTACTGCCACAAAGAAGACAATCCTGCTGTTGCCAACTTTCTGCTCAAGTTTCTGCTGAGACGGTGTGGCGGCGACACGCACATCCAGTTCGAAACTGTGCTTTGCTCGATCCTCTGAATGAAGTCTCCAACCTCTGGACCTCTTCTTGAGGACGGTCTATGCTGTGGCGCCATGTTTACCCACGGGATACAATGTTGGTGTATAACGGAAGCTTTCGATGACGTCGTACCTTGTCTAAACTTATAAAATAATTGAATAGACAACCACAGTGTATGCTACTGAGTGGATGATGGTAAGGCAGTGTCTCTGCATCCTGCCAACAGCCTTCCACTGGAACAACGTACCCCGCAACCATGTGACAAAACACATTGTTTGTTTTGAAGGAACATGCTGGAAAGCAGCGAGCCCTTGGCAACACCAGAACCTCGACCACATTGTAGCTGTCAGCTCTCTAGCACTTCAATCGTCTTTCTGGTTCATTGCCATGTGAGTTTGTGGTCGCTGGTGTTTCATATAGTCATGGGTAAAGGCGTCTTGTCCAAGGCTCCTGGCCAAGAAAACCCATCCACGATTGCATACTCCACTGTGCAAACCCTGCAACTACGACTAGGCACAAAACTGACAAGGTACTGAGACATTCGACGACATGACACCTAGCGACAACACATCTCTGGAGCGCTAACCAATCGCCTTCCAGCTCGGAAGGTTCTCGGCTAAGAAATGGCCACAATTTCTGCCCGTATAGTATAGTTGCAGTGATGGACAGTTACACTGAATTTAACTTGTACTATATCCAACATGTATGTCCCTTTCCTTTCTACATGTATTGTAAATTGGCTCAAACATCAGAGTGCACCTTGCTCTTGCTAATACCCCATATTGGTGCCGTCTTCAGCAACAAGCACGGGGAGTTTGAAAGTCTTCCTCTCTACCGTCCATGGGTGAGTTTTCTACCGTATGTGCAGGCTATTGCCTCAAAATTTGCCATGGCTGGCTATCGTCCCCTCCCTCCATATTGGCCTCTATTCCCTGGCGCAGTCGCACATCTGACTGCAAAATCCCCACCAAATGAAGGTGTGGGTTCTCTTCACTCCGGAGAGTCAAGTGGAGCAAACTGCAACTCCCGATTCCGAAAGGCGGGCTCACGCCCCTACATAGCTGCTTCCCCTTGCCTAACCCCCAAGACGAAAATGATAGTGTAGCTGACTGGCAGAAATCTAAAAAAACATTTCCTGGCCACGGGAAGGTGAAACAAATAAATAAATTACCGGCGCCTGGTGTGTGGCCCTCCAACTCGACAATTTAACCGTACCCATTGGTGCTTCAGTGTGGAGAACGAAGACGAAAATGACAATGATGAAGGTGCCATTGGACAGGTCAGTGGACAGGACGGATGAGACCTGCAGTCGTACAGATGTTGCGAACCCACTTAGACTAGTGCTTGTTTGAGGATTTGCCCAAGACTGGAAGTCAACAAAGAAGAGTGTTCCTTCCGGGATATTATGCAGTGACGTTCACGGTTGTGAGTGCAAGGACATGCAGATTGTCGTCCAACGTTCCTGTTCTGTTGTCTATGATTGTGTGCATACATGTACATGTATGCGTATTGCTGAAGGATAATTATAGTCTCCGTTGCCGCGTTGGGTTAACGTTACTCTCCAGCACGAGAGATATGGTGTCCTCGTCATCATGCTTGACCTCAGCCTCTTGCTCTCGCGGAAATCGTTACAGGAGGCCTACGTTCGTGAAGTTAGAGTGAGTAGAACTGAAGTTACGATAAAAAGAACATGAAAAGTGCAGAATATTGGCATTTCCCAGTGACTCTCAAAGTGCCGGTTATAGGGGGCAATGTGTATTGGGAGCATTTGATTCTCACTATGAGCACGACATCTGTGGATGCACGATGTGTGATTGGCTTTCTTCCAGCTAAACCCTCACTAGGTTTACTCCTTCACCTTCTCCAGGCTCCAGCAAGAAGGCTATATATGGCGTGTGGGATCATGCGCCCAATTCCCAGTGAACAGACGAGTGGTTACTGGTTAGTGTGAGTGCTAAGCTACAGAATCACATAATGTACATGTAGGTGATATCTGTAAATTAATTTTATATTCAGCATGATTATAGTTATTATTTGCGGGATTCCCCAAAGGCCGAAGTCTACGTGATGGGACGTTTCTATCTGACCTAATATTAGTAATAACAAAACAAGGTCCAAACCAAAAGCTAAGACAGTACTGGATGGATAGTGGAGGCTATTGCTTGACTCATGTGATGATGATTTTGGAGAGACCTTTAGAGC